GCTTTTTCACTGAGCCGGCGAGGCGACGAACGAGAACCGATCTGACGGGATTACCATTCGTCGTAGCGCTATTCCGCACGTTCCTCCTCTCCGGCATGCTACTGCGGCTCGCTCGTTTGGACGTTCCTTCTCTTTCCTATTTCCTTTATTTAGATTTTAATTCGAAAGATCCCCGTTCTCTCGCGTCACTCTTCCTCCACTCTCGGTGGTGCCCCACCATCAACGAGCCAGTCAGCAAGCCCAAAGGCGAGAAAGCCAGCAGACAGACCAACGTACTGTTTTCCTTGCTCCGTTCTCCCTCCCGGCGTCGGATTGCCCGTCCGATGTACGTTCACATCTCTCCGTTCCCCTTGTATTTCCCATCTCGATTCTTCGTCTTCCGCCGACCCTTATTCCTTGCCTTAGTTCCTTCTCTCTCCTCGTCAAGCCACGAATGCACTCGGAGAGATTCAGGGGGATGAAACAACTTGCACGAGGCTGATTCTACCAAGGATCTTCACTGAAGAGCATCAGAGGGAAATAGACGCGGGAACATCCATAGCAGTGGGCGACATCTAACCTCCAGCGGGTTTCTGGGTCACGGATAAGCCAGGCCGGGACGCGACGTCGACAAACCTTGGAATTTTTTTTCGTGCGGAGATGCAGCCTGATGATCTGCTAGGAGGATTCCTTGCTGTCGATTCCCGCGACAGCGATGTAAAATCGTAACATTTCTCAAATTTCCGCGGGGATCACATCACGACTCCATGACCCGATGCGGGAGTCGAGTGTGGCGGCACTCGAGTCCCTCGTGGTCGAAAAGTATTCGCGCAGATACGTATTCACGGAGGAACGTCCTCATGGGCGAGCTATCGGTGACGGCGCGGATGTATGATGAGTGAGTATACATAGTGACAGTCTTATCGCAGTTTCGGCTCGCACCGATGCCGCTAATGGAGAACACGGCAGCGTCGTCGGCCGCACCAGTATCGAAGGCACCGGTCGGGTCGGCGATAATGGTCCGCAAGTCAGGGCTTCTTCCTTCGGTGGTCTCGAGGCCTGCGGCTCCGGCTTCACGATTCATTCGCAGCGTTGAATCACCGCTAGTCCAATGCCATGCGGAATGAAGCCTCATTCGCTTTATGCTACCAGAGAGTATTTCCCTGTACCCTTTCCCGGGACTCAAGTCCTGATCTGCAGACTTCTTTGATGAATTCCTCCGAGGAGCCCGAAGCCTCTAGGCGTCAGATCGATTCAATTGTAACAACTTGTGCCAGCTTTCGTGCGGAGCGAGATGATGGAGGTTTACTTTTCGGTAGAGACTATTGAATGCTCCGAAATAGATGATGCTCTCTGTTCGCTCCTGACGAGTGATATGATGCCGTCGTCAAGTGCCTGGACGTCGACGCCGCTCTGTCGCGTCAAATAAGGTTGTCGTCTCCTGGACGTTTTCGCTGCAGCTTGAGAGCCCGTCTGCCCGTCCGCCGGTCAAGATGGTGCCTCTTTGGTTGGATGGCCGGCTTGCTGGCCGGCTTGCTGGCTGGCTGGCTGGCTGGCTGGCGGGCTGGTCGGCCTCTTGTCCGGCCGGCTATCCTTGCGACCGAGCTAGGTTGCAAGCGGACGACGAGCTGGCTGAGCGGCTTCATACGCGACTTCTAAGGACTCCTAATGGCCAACAGACGAAGCCAAACGACGGACCGAACAAGAAGCAGCAATGAAAGCAGCATGAGTGAGCAAGATAGAGCTAGAGATACACAGATAAAGGGCTACCGTCAACGAAACACATGCTCGACATGGAGTCGGGGGATGAGACTGTGGAGACAGGCGCGCGTGGCTGAAGAAGCAAGAGCTACAAACAACACAGTAGGCCACTTTGACATTACGATGAACGTTGTCTGCACGCTTGGTTGCTAACACCAGAACAACCAGGACGAAGAGGACGTGCGGGCGGAAGAACGAACAAGCGACCAAACGAACGGAGCGGCACGCAAGATGCCGAACGGAATGAGGCGGGAAGGTTTCTTTTTGCGTCCTCGGTGCGTCCCTCTGTCCGTCCGTGGCGGCTTCTCTTTGTCTCGATCGGGGAAACGCGAGAACAATGCCACTCACGAGACAGAGTCTTCCTTTCGGTGGAAGAGTAGACGGATGGACGGAAAGGCTGATCAATGGATACATGAATGTACACTCTGATGATGATTTCGGTGGCGGCGGTGACAGCACAACGGCGGATTGGCCGCGAGAGACTCGCTTCGCGCATCGCGCGCGCGGTCAGCTCCGGGACGACGCGCGGAAAAAGAATTATGTAGTAAGAGCCCTCTACCCCCCCCCATCTCCCCCCTACCGCTCAGGGTGGTCCTCGCTCTGTAGGGGACGAACAGACGGGGTAAAGGACGAGGGGGGGGAGGAATATCCACCTGTTCGTTCCCCGGGATTTCCCGACCGCTGATGGCATCTTCCGCGGGCCCGCCGCAGGTGATCCTCGTGGCCGCAATGTGTTCCGATCGTGTGGTGTTTCACTTGTGGTCACCGATCTCTGAACGAGTTGTTCGTCCTGTCATTACGCACATATCGCTCCTTCAGCGCAGGACGCTGGACTCAGCGTCGGGGACCGCAGAGCTTCGCTTGGCGAATGCGAAGTAGGGAAAAATGTGGATCGAAGCCCACGATGTTGTGGAGGGACGGCCGCATGGCATAGCGGGCAACGACGACATATTCGGCGGCGGCAAAGATAACGGCTACCCTAGGAGTCATTCGCGGGCTATTTTCTCTCTTGCGACAACGACGACCGTTACCGCTACCGCATCCACTACCGCTGCTACCTTAACGGAAGGCCGCCCAAGGAAGGAGATATTGGCCTTCGGAGCGATTCGGCGCGGCAATCCTTCCTCTTAGTTGGTTGCCTGGCTGCCTGGCTGGCTGCCTTCTCACTGCGTTTATTCGTTCTTCCGTTCGCTTTTGGAGCTGCCGTCGCAGCCTGTGCCGGCCGTCCTAACTTTTAAACTTTTAAGCACCATCCTCATGCCAAGCTCAGAAGAGGGTTTTGCATTGAAAGAGAACGCCGTTCACTCGGGTAGCCGGTTGCACGACCGACCAAATTCCCCTGGTTTTTCTTCAGATCGTCGCCGTCGTCTTCCCCGTCTGATTTTCTGAAGCGAGCCCCGCATTACTCTGGAGCACGGCCATCCTTGTTGTTACAGACTTCGAGATTCGCTTGCTTGCGAGCGCGCGTGGCGGCGCGTGTGAGGGAAGCGAACGAGCGAGCGAGCGAGTAGCCCGTGCGTTCGAATGCACTCCAAGCTGGGTCTGGACAGAGCTTCCTAGATTCGAGACGGAGCCAAGGCGAAGAGGGGAGCAAGAGAGCGAAGAACCAATAAGGGACGACCGGCTGAAGCAGAACAGAAGGAAACCGATGCGTCCAATTGCTGACTCCCTTTTCCTCGACGATGGAGCTCAGCTGGGATCGCGCCTCTTCAAAGCTCTGGTATCCCCTCTGGTTCCCGAGAAACTTGTTCTCTCGCAGAGTCGGATTGCTCTGGGAACGACACCGCCGAATCGAATGATATGGTGACGGATTCTGAGAGATGAACTTTCGAGAGGACCGAGAGCAGTCGACCGAAATGTCAACCCAGCTTCTAGCAGCGACCGATCCTTTCCGCTCGAATTTCGGACCCTGGAGTTCGAGGGATTTCCGAAAACTAGGGGAGGAATTCAAGTCTCCCCTGAATTGTCGTCCCAAACGTGATCTTAGAGGAAGTTTCGGAATCCCCTCGAATTCATCCCGGGGACCGAATCCACTGTATCTTCGAGAGGAGGAAATGTCCAATCGAAATACTTTTGTTGCAAGGAAATTGAATTTGAGGGCAGCACTCGCAGATCATGAATGAGTTGGACGATCAATTCCGGGAACAAGAAGAATTCTTGAACTGGGGAGTAGACCGTTGCTCTGAATATCCGAACGACCGACGACTCGCTTGTTTGGAGAACTAAGTCTCCTCTTGCTCCTGCTGGCGTTTCCTACCCTTCCGTGGCTCGAGGGGTTGACAGAGAAGCGAGAAACAGAGGATGAGAGTCAGTCTTATGGAGGTCCGGCGAGTAAAAAAATACGCGCTACTTTCTCCTCATCTAAGTTTTCGAACTTGACAAGGATGCGGATGTAGAACATCGACTCGCTTCGAACTTTGAGCTTCTTCACTAACATGCGGCCTTCACGCAATCCCTGATATAATCGACTGGGCGGCGGCCGGTCGGAGAGTTCCAAAGTTCGCGATCGATCGATTCTTCCCCGGAGAAATAAGGCTCCGGAGTTGTCGCTTTTGAACAGCTAGGTTTTCCTCAGACTGCGTACCATTTGCGGGAGCGCGGCCGCGAAGTCCCGTGAATCCCGGGTACGGTCAGCAGGGAGATCCGACCACGACAATGAAATCCCATGTACTGCTGTTCCAAAAGAGTTTTGACTTTGTGTCTCGACCGCTTTCCATCCACTGCGAAGAGACAGCAATGGGCTGACCGCAGACGATGCAGGTCATGCCTCAGTGCGAAGCGAAAGTTGGATTTGTTGCTTGTCGTTGTCAGACAACATTTCCCCGGAGGCGCTTGCCAGTAGGTCTCTCACAGCTTCGGGCCAAGAAAGCGGGAGAGCTCCGTGAGTCACATTTTGTTTCCTCTATGAAGCGGAGAAAAGTTTACCACGAACTGCGAAAAGTTGACAGCAGCAGCAGCTCTATCGTGGACAGCTAGGTCGTAATACCCTCATGGTGATTTTTTGCTTTGGGTATCGCCGAGACGGCTCCGATATCGTCTCCAGTGACACGGCTTAGGGCTCGTGTCCATCATCCTCGTATCAGGGGCTCTCGGCGGTCTTAGTCAGAGGCGTGGATAATTTGTCCTAAAGAGAGCTTCCGGGTCCGTCTCTATCTTCGGTCCCACTTTCCCCGGCCATGATGGCAGCGGGAAGGTTCGCAATGGTCGCGTATCGGAGCTCGGAGGCGAGATGAAAAATTGTTGTGGTAGAGCTTTCGTCCATGTCCAGATCATCGATTTCTCTCGACAACGAACATCGAGCCCATAGCGATCGTTCCGAAGGCGTTCGAGCCGAGGATTTCCTGTTCTCGTTCCACACTGCCGAGGATAAGGTGGATCAGATTCTCGTATACAGCGATCTGACGAAGGTGTCGCGATTTCTTCCTCTATCCTCCACATCTTTTATGTATAACACCGCATCCCTGGGAAGCTGGTTGAGCCACTTGTCAGACGGCACGTCGTCGTCGTCGTTGCTCCACCGCGAGGCCATCGGTTCACCTGACGCCGTACTAGAATCCCTTCCCCACATATCTCCGTCCATTCCGTGGTTGTTCCGACTTTCCTCCATGAACAATATTTGCTCATAGTTTTCGGTGCCGTTCACTCCGAAATCTTGGCCGTCCCCGAGTTTTACTTGCGAGAGGAAACTTGAAGAGAATAAGTCGCGAGCGAATGGAACCCTTTTGACGTCACAAGGCTCGGCTCCATTTCTCAGTCGTCGTGTCGCTTCGTTGCCGGCCATGTAGCGCTTCCTCGTCGCTCAGCTTTATCGCTTTACTGCTCCCCGGTGTGAGATTTTGTAAACTCCGGTCTCCCTCAAGAAATTCCCTCCGTCTCCGTAGTTGAGCGGCGGGCGACCACCCAGCCTCGCACACGGCGACAGAGACGCTCTTCATTTCTCGCCTGTGACTGGGAAGGGGCGGGGGGACGGGGGTCAGCAGGAAATTAAAGCAGAAGGCAGAAAAAAACATCGCCGGAGATTTGAACCGGGTAGGGTTCAGTAGAGCAAAAAATGGCCCGTGCCGGATTTAAGGAGGTCTGCATTGACACAAATTCGATGTTGCGAGGATGTCGGATTCAAAATTCCAAGTTCTTCTGTTTCGACTCGAAATCAGTCGATTCCTGCGATGAAAATTCACCGGAGTCCCTCCTCCCCCCCCCTCCCCTCCAGCACGCGTTACGGATTGACCAGTACAAGAGGCACCTGATTTTTGCCTCCATTGTTTTCCACGGGTTCCGCTAGGACTTTCGAACACCGAGGCTGCGGGAGTCGAATCTCGTGTTTCAACGACCGAGGGACGTCTATCAAATGCGTATCAATCACGAAATGTGGGCCGGAATGTCGGTCAACTCGTGCGAGACATTGAGAGATATCCAGAAAGGCCAGGAGATGCCTGAAATATGCCAAAGCTCCGCCTTCATCCGAAACCGGCTCGCCAGTTGATCGCTGCTTCATGAGGCCCATCGCCTTCGTGGGAGTCGACACCAGCGTTGTCGCAGGCGAGGCGGGGGCTGTTAATCTTTACTCTAGGAGGAGAGTTAAGTGAAATGCCCGCGCTCTTCCCGCTTACTCGTGGTGCCCCATCTCCTGGCTTCTGCCGGATGCCCCGGCTCCCCTGTGGGTTTCTCCCACCCGCGAGCGAGCATGTGGGTTTTATAACCCTAGCTTTATCGAGCTAAAAGCACTGACTCTTCTGCCTAATCTTTCAAGCCAAGCGAGACACCCAACAGTCGAAGAGGAGTTCAACAGTGCGACGCAAATCGTTCGCAATCCTTTCGGAGGAATTCTATCGACCGAGAGATTCTTCAGAACTTTTCGAACATTTCGGGCGTGCACGAGGGGGCGGGACGTGAGACGCGCTATCGAACCACCGATACGCTCCCCATGAGGTCGGAGAGGACGTTGCTAGTCTTTGGTCTGGGAACACCCTATAAAAACTAAAAATTCGAAGAAAAAAGGAGGTGTTGACAATTTCAGAGCAAAGCAATCGCTAATTCCGAATATTTCTTACAGGCCATGAGACCGCAGCTGGCGGCAGCTCTGCTCGCAGCGCAGTTGGTCTCGCAAATATGCGTCAGCTCGGTGCGCGGCTTCGGGTGTCACTCGGGCTGCCATTGCATTTGGCGGCACGGGAAAATGACGGCGACTTGCACCGAGCTCCAGCTGGAATCGCTGCCGAGCGATCTTGACGAAGGTGAAAAATATCCTCCATCAATGTGAATTCGCTTCCATCCCTGAAGTCTCCGACGCAGCCACTAACCCGAACGGATTTCCACAGGCCTCCAAGTACTGAACATGTCCATGAACAACCTGAAAGCTCTGCAAAACAATCAGGTTGCCAACGCGGGTCTCGTCAATCTCCAGAAACTCTATCTGAGTTTGAATCAACTGAGAGAGCTGCAAGAAAACGCTTTCTACAAAATGAACAATCTTGTTGAACTGGACCTCAGCTTCAACAAGCTGGGTGCCGTGCCTACAAACGCATTTAAACACCTCGGAAATCTTCGCCAGCTGCTCCTGAAAGGTTCGTTCCAGCTATTCCCCGGTGAATAGTTATGGCAATTCGAGACTCGCAAGCGAGCTGGATCGCTTACGCCATACAGGCCGGCGCGCTTCCGAAACCGATTCGATCCGAGTAACAAAACGACCGACCGATCGACCAAGCGTCTAAGCACCTTTTGCGCTCCACAGGAAATCCCATTACAGTTCTGGCAGACTTCTCATTCTCGCATCTTCGAAGTCTTAGCGTGTTGGAGCTGAGCTCGTGTAAAATTGAAACCGTCGCTCGAGATGCACTGTCACAGCTAGAAAGTTTACAAGTTTTGAAGTTGGACGACAACCTGATCAGCTATATCGACGCATACACGATGTTACCGCTACACAAGTTACACGGGATTTCTCTCGATGGCAACGCGTGGAATTGCGACTGCCGACTACGGCCATTCAGGGACTGGTGAGTCCGTATGGAAATTGCCTAATGAACGGAAATGTATGCAACAGGAGACTTCGCTTGTCGATACGGACCGTAGGCTGAAGCCCTGGGCTACGGGATCCGACACCCGTCAGTGAATTTTCCATCGGGAAACGAAACTCGGAGACTGATGAGCGATATTCGTCCTCCGACGATTGTACTACGAGGGGCAATCCTCTGGATTAGGATTTTTCACAGCGCTGAATACCATCACCGTGTTCACTAACGAAGGGTCTCCATATGTCAAAATACTGGGCCAAGACACATTTTGCGAAAGCAGGGAGAATTATCGCGAGCCGCTCGGTTTCGAGTTTCATCGATGCATTCCAACGATGGCGAACTTGCTTATGGCCGAGAGCTCATACGCAGCAATGAAACCGAGCGGGTCAGGGAGCTGGGTCCGGCACGCAAATGTTCCCTCGGGCTGCTCGAAGCAACAAGATCGGCCCTCGCTCCTCTGTTCGTTTCGCAGACCGTGGATCTGGACGTTGCTGGCTCTTCATATGTATATGGACATCGAACAATCCACGGCTCCTTGGTCATGGCGATTGTTCCCGATCGGACTCTATCGTGGGGATACGATCGAGCTATTTTTGGAGAGGCGAATGTTGACGAAAAACTATTTTCTATTCGCAGGCTATCACAGCATCACCCTACGTCGTATTCGCCGACGTGCCATTTGCCGGAGACAATCCGAGACTTATCTTGGAATAAAGCTTCGGAAGCAGTATTCAGCTGTTCTCCCAATTTTACGCTCAGTGCTCAAGAGTATAAGGTGAGTTGTACTTATCCGTCTGCGCATTCGCTGCGATCTGGGAGAGTCGATAGCGAATCGGAAAATAGACGAGGTGTTGCCTCGGCAGTGCGAAGTTTGCTACTGCTGGAGGAATTCTCGGGGCTCTCTCGCGAGAGAAAGGAAGAATCGGAGCTCGGTCAGCAGCGTCAAAGCGAAATGAAAGTAGCTCGATGCTTTGTCCAGAGGATAATCCTCTAACGAGTCCCCTTTCTACCGCTTCCGTCGACCCTCTCGAGAAAAGAGCCATTGTGGCGGAAAGTTCCCAGTACCCTATCGAGATTAGAAGCGTTGAGCAAGGCAAGGAGTTCTGCCATTGGCTCGAAGTACTTTTTGGTGGGAGACTCTCTACTCATCAACCGGCGGCTTGCCGTAATCAAAACTAGAGGAATGGATCGATCGCCGAGCACGACTGGACACGTCGTCGAGGGAACATCATGACGCTTCATCCTGACCCTCTAGCATGGGGATCGTCTTCCCAATCCTCTGTTTGGATCTCGTTATGGGAAAAATATCTCCTTCGGATCCCTCTCTGCTCTCGACAATGATCGAGGATGTAAACAAGTGGCTCCCGGCTCGCACGTCCCTTACGCGGATTGGCGGCGTAACAACACTCCGCTTCTGTTTCCAGGTGCAGGCAGGCAGCAATTTGACCTTGCATTGCGAAGCTTGGGGGATGCCTCCCCCGGAGATCCTATGGTACATGGGGGATCTGCAACAGAATGGCACAGTTCTGCGGGTGAACGACTCGCTCACAGCTTCTCAGGTAAGTCTATCCAGACCCCGCGAGCTCACGCGTGTCCTATCAATCGGTGGCAGTCTCAGACCCTCACGATCGGTGAGCGGCGGGACGTCTGTCGTATTCGAGCCGATCGACGCCCGTTCGTCTCCTAAAGCCATTGCAAGCTGCCGTTTGTCTCAATGCAGCGTTTGGGGCAGCTCTTGCGGTAGCAAATGCGACAGAAAATGCGATCGATTGCCGCGGCAATAAATGGCATCGTTTCCTGGAACATGATCAATCCTTTCAGCTGCTGCTCAACGATGTGGGTCCATTGCACGGTGGCACCTACACTTGCCGAGCAATCAACCCAGCCGGGGAGGCCCGATCGAACTTCACCGTTCTCGTGAGCTCGGACGCCCATGAGACTCATATGGCTCCGACCACAACTAAAGGCGGGGTCCGGGTGGCTGACGTCCAGGGCTACTATTCCGGTAAGTGGCTGGATTTTCCAGAGGCAATTTTCAGAATATGTACACTCGATGTCGCCTCACCGATGATCAATAATAATCATACGACGAACATGGGTCGGTAATTGATTTTTTTCTCATATATCGATCTGGTTTTACAGGCAACGCTGGCCTGATCGGCCTCGTACTGGGCATCACCACAGCGAGTCTCGTAGTTCTATCCGTCGCGGTTCTGCTCCTCTGGAGCTGCCGACGGAATTCAGTAGGCGACAAAAGGAAGACGGCGGAGGCCTCGACCGCGCTGGGATCGTGAGTATTTTACGCACAAGTGTGAGAGACCACAATCAAATCAACTCGAGGTGTTCCCGCTCGAGGACAAACGGAATTCCGAAGAGATTCTCGAAGGTATCGCTCCAAGAATCTCGACCGAGCAACCGAGCAAGACGACGGCGAAGGGTAAACGACGGACTCAAATGATCCGAGCAAGTTCGGAGAACATACAGCCGGAATACGGAGTTCTGATTCAAGTTTAATTTGATGGTCCCGATCGGAGAGACGCTCCCAGCGACCCACTATTACATTTGCGCAATCATCCGTTCTCCAACGAAAAGCAGCTGATGATCCAGAGAGACGAAAACTTCAATTGAAATGGGCTTCTTCGATTTTTGGGCCATTTTTGTGGAATCTACTAGGCAAAAATATCTCGAAAGCAGACTCGAGCCCAATGTTAATGTGGCAAAAACGAAATTGCAGCGAGGTTGACTTCGATTTTTCGACGGTCGCTCGAGCGTGTTGGCTGGCTAGCTCCTCGGTCGGGGCCGGCTCGCCCGCCTGCGCGAGCTCTCGCGAGTGAGCATGCACGACTTTCTTTTCGGTGATTTATGAATAGTTCCGGGGAAACGAACTGACGCGAGGACAGGCGGACAAACAGACCGATCGACCGACCGACCGACCAGCCAACCAACCAACCCGCCAACCGAGCGGATTCGCGAACGGAGAGGGCGTCCGTAATGAACTGACTCGGACTGGCTTCGTCGTCTCGCAGCTTCTCGTTGTCCGCGGGCGGTGTATCTCAGCCTCCGAGCGCGGAGCTCGTTCTAGTCAACGTGGAACTTCTATTTCGCGCGATTTTCGGAGAACGCTGCACAGCCGTAATAATGGGGCGCTCTCTCGGCAGCAGGAGAGAGAGTATCCCGGCGCTCTACCATCAATTCAGTTATCCTCGAGAAATCGAGCTCCGCCGCCGGTAGGGAACGGCGAGGCCAGATCGGGCGGCAGTTCCGCCTCCGTTCACGAAAAGACCCGAAAGTGAACGGCGGAGCCGCGCTCCGGTACGCATCCAATGGTCTGCACTCGTTCCCTTCGTGCTCGTCCTGGGAGTTCCGTCCGAAACTTCACCGCGGCGCGCCAGTGACTCCAGACGGAACGGAGCGGTGTGGGGACAGAGATGAATTCGGAACCAATTCGTACTTGGCGATTGCGTCGGCAGCGGCACCTGCAGTGTCTCTACAATATCACGCACCACTTGGGGCGCGTAGCGTGGCCGTGGACAGAAAGCTGCCCGGGAGACTCCGTGGAGTTTCAATAATTACGAATCGCGAAAAACGGACAACCGCGTGTGGAGCATACGCGACAGACGTTGTCCCACTCGGCGCAACTTTTAAGCCTGACAAATGCTCGTTGGAATTTTTCTCTCTTTGTTTAGTTTGGGCAGAGTTTTCAGCTCGTTGCATCAGTTGTTCAGCGGCTTGTGTAGCGATTTCTCTCGGGCCAGTCAATGAGCTCGGCCGCCAGTAGTTCGTGTACAGGGTCGCAGCTGATCGACTCGAACGACCGGAGGCCAAGGCTGAACGAAACTTCCGAGGGTCGTCCCCCAGCATGCGTCATCCGTCGTCCCTTGCGCCACGGTGCCCCGGAAAACGCTCGGAGAAACTGAAGATTCGGTACCGTCGGCTCTGATACTGATCACGTGATTGATTTGTCCTCGCTCGTTCCTCTCGACATCCCACCGATATTCATCATCAAACGAAGCTGGCTCCTCGATCTGGGCCGGATGAGGTCCTCCTCGAGCACTGTGTGCTTCTTCCCTGTGAGCTGGAATATCATCCTGGATGACACGTCCGCTCGAATGTCGGTCAGACCGAGTGCCTGTTCAGTCATGTCCTTATTTCTCACGCGATTGACAGCGAGTACGCTTCGCATTAACCTCGCTCGGGTGTTCCGCTGCTGGACAAATTTCCATGATGCCCCACTGAGCATCACGCAGGGTATCGGACGAAGCAGCTAATCGAATATGGAAATCCATCAGGGAGAGATGAACTAAGTGCCGCCGTCGCAGCGGGGCAACGTGATCATTATGAATAAAGCAGCCGCTTGTTCACTTCATTCGAACGCACGGCATACGCCTCCAGCGAGGTTTCACTTTTTCGGAATGCAGACTCCAAAGACGAGAAGCTGTAGCGGTCGACCGAGATTCCCGCTCCATCCGATATTCGATAACGTTCGAATAGCTCCGTCAACGTAGAGGGAGAAGCCACGCAGAAGGGCCCTGGCGAAGCGAAGGGGTGACGAGCGCCCGCGAGAGCAGAGTCGACCGACGTGTCGAAAACCTCTACTTGACCAATTAGAAGCAATCCTCCCTGCTTGAGGACCACGCCCACCGCTGAACGCCCCCCACGTATTTAGTATGTGTATGTTCATCCCTCTGAATGTTCTCAAGTAGGGCACGCTCATCGAGTGAAATGTCAATGTCAGTTGAGAACGGAATGACTTCCCTCGGACCCCGTTCGCGACCTTCCGAAGCGAGTTTCCACGTCGGCGACATATCTCTAGCTGACCGGACGGAGCTCGTCATGGTATCGAACGAGGACCTCCTGACATTCGAAACGCACCCAATCGACGAAACCCGCTGATCGAGAGCACTGGCGCCGAAGCTCTGAACTGCACGATGAGACGGACCCGCCTGCTTCTTGGATTAACGTTGTAGTGCTTGTAGTTCGTTTTCGAGTTTGAAGATGTCAAAGAGGCGACGCCTAATTGGAAGCATCGTTATACGGAATCAAGAAAAGGAGCTCTACTGCTGCGAGAAGAAGTAAAAATCGAAGCAACGGTGTTCCGGGAGGCCGACGCTCCGGTTTGCTGGCTCTGGGCATGCCCTGGGCACTCGTTGAGGGGAAACCAAAAGGGATTTGCGCCCGGAATCGGCGAGATTCTCGGGGTCCTCGGTTCCTTGGGTGTAGAAAATGGAAGGATGCGATCAAAAGTACGGAGTTTTCTGCGAGTATAAGCTTCGAGGAGACGCGCCGTCCGTCGAGTCAATAGAACATCGAGAACGGGCCTCCCACGTTTGCTTTGTCAAGGGCAAAGGACCCGTGACTTGACTCCAGCGTGCCCGAGAGACATCGGCTTGATGCTTGAGGAAAGACTCTGATCGCACACATTAGTTTCCCTTAGGTCTGCATCGGAAAAAAGGATTTTAGGCTGATAGACGACAGTCGGTCTTCGGTAGGGCGTGAAATGGAGCACCACGGGATCAGGCAAAGCCGGAAGGAGGCTTCCCTGTGATAAAACCCTTTTTTTTTCTTTCATAGATGCATTCGTCCGCCGATGAGTACGAAGATCGATTACTCCATATTATTATTCGTTCGGGATCCCTGGACACTTGGAGGAAATCTGTGTTTTTGCAAAGCTCCAACCCTTTGTCGGAGGATTGGACGCCGGAACATCGAGGGGAATAAATTAGCCGTACCAGAATTAGGCTCGCTTGGCTCTTCTGAGGACGAATGCCGCGGAGCTCTCAGTCCAGGGCAACGACCTTCGCAAGGAAGCGCGCCGCTTGAGAAACTTCGTCCTACCGTCCACCTCCTCCACGTCACTCACGCTCAGCACTAGAGTTGAGCCTGAGGGTGGAACAGGGGAGGTCTGCGGTCTACGCTCGCTCAAAATGTTCGAATGGGCTGCTGTTGACAATGATGACGATCGAGACCGTGAGCGATGGCGAGCGTCTATCCGCTGGCTCCGGGGGAGCCTCAAATGAATCGAATTCCGCTCGGTGCTCGAAAACCCGAACATCTGAATCCCCCGGTCGAGGGACTGACAAGAGTCTGCAGAGCTCGTGTTGGATAGCTCGAGGGGGACGAGGTAGCGTTCGATAACGTGATGCGATTCTGCCTTTCCTCGTCGAGCTCCTTCCGACGCTTCAGCAGAAAATAGAACCTCGGCCCGTGAACCTTGAGATCCTCGCTCATTCCAGCGCTCTTCCCCGGGGGAAGACAGATGGACACAGAAACACACGAATTTACGCATCACGGGTCCGCGCAGACAGGGGAATCTGCCGAAGGGGACGTTGTCCGCTGGCGTGGCAAGGCTCTCAATTATCCGTCGCCGTATTCCATTGGAGAAATTCGGACGTTTCTGAGAGGAGCGTGGGTTACTCAACGTCTCGCGCATCGCTCCGAAAATTCTCAGTTTCTGCACGGTCCGCCGTCGGGCACTCGGTTGTGGGCGCTCGGTGCCGTGATTTAGGTAGAGCGCTGATTTTTCCGGATCCGTTTCGTGGGATGTTCATTTGTTTGAGTCCCACGCACGGTCCTGGTCATAGCAGGGGGAGGAGAGTGGGCGATCGATAGGAAAGTTGAGAGCAGGCGGCAAAGCGCGCGCTTCCACCTGCTCGCCGGCCGCCTTGTTACTTTTCCTCCAACAGTCCTTGACAGATGATCTTGGTGATGAAAGAGTGGAATTCGTTTGAATCAAGCATCAGGGTATTCCTTTCCTTGCTGTTCACCATATTCCCCTTCTCGGGCTAGCTCGATGACATTTTTCTCAATTTTCTACCGTGCTGCTCGGCCTCCAGACTCTCGCGTTATTACCGGGAGTGGGAACGTGTCGTAACCGCCCACAGAATTAGGGTGCCGGCTGAATGGCATTGGCAAACTAGCGCTGGTTGAAACCATCGAAATGCGTATGAATATCGGAACGGCTTCCTCGCCGTTTCCTGAGCCGCTGCGAATTTGAAGGAACCGCAGCCGAAAAGTAGTGTGGAAACTAACGTTCCTGTTTCTCGTTCCAGGGCCGAGGTCGAACCCTTGAAAGCAGCCGAGGCAGCCGAAGATACCCCTCCACAGAAGCCTCCACGTACGCACGCCGACTACGAGTGCCTCACACCGTCAGCGCTCGACCTTGAAGGCTGTGAGTTTCTCAGATAGACGCTATGGGTCGACATTTCTCCCACGCGAATTCAGGACGACCGATGGCGTCTTCTGGAAGTTTCCAGATCGGAACGAACTCCGTTGAGTCGGATCATTTTATTCGTTTCCGATCAGTCTCACTCATGAATCCGATGATTCACATTGGCCACATTGATGCGCGGAGGACCTCATTGTTTCAATGAACTCCGAAGGACTCTCGCGCTGAGTTTTTAGGATTGTTGATTGCCCCACGGACGTATCGCTGGAGGGAGCTTGACTGGCACACGCTTTCGGAGTACAGTGTTGTTTTCCGTTCCGAAGAGAATTCAACGCTCTTAATGACGCTGGTGTCTGTTATTACTTTAGTGGCCATTACTCGCTCGCTCCCTAGCGAAGTTGTTGGAGTTGTTTATCGCCTCGCTCGCTCGCTCGTGAGCAAGTGCCTCTGTTTGGCGCTCTTCTTGTCATCAACGTCGTTCGTGCCTTTATTAGCAATCATCAAGCGGCAATCGAACGTCGGGAATCTTTTTTCCCCTTAGAGATCGTCGAACAGAACGTCCGTTTTCCCGCAGTTGGGACCCTTTCTCTCGCTTGCCAGACGACGTCTCTCGGGGTTGACGTCTCCAACAGCGTCGATCGCGGAGACGACGCCGCCGCCGCCGTTGTCATTGTGGTCCGTTCTTGCGGCGATGATGATCATGGTAGTGGTGTGGGTGGCGGCGGCGGCGGGCGACAGCCTCGTCCTCTCTATCGCTGTCGACGTCACTTCATTTCAAACTGCTTCCGCTAGCAGCGCTCGATGTAATCGAAAAAGCATCAGATCCGTTATGTGATTCGAGTCGATTGCCTATCTGTTCCTCTCCCGTTGCACACTTCTGCCCAGCGGCGAATCAGTCCATTCATATTGGCTGCACGGCGACGAAGTGTCATCTGCTCCCTGATCCTCGCGGCAAGACGCGTAACACCATCGATATTATTTCGAGCCGCCATCGCGCGACTCGACCATCTGGACTCTCGGAAGAGGAACAAGGCCATTCACCGCCGAAGAGTGCCAATATCGCAAGGCCTGGCTCGATTGTACGCGCAACGTGCTGCCAAGTAGTTTCTCTTTCGTGCCCTCGCTCGGGCTCCCCATCGATTTCGACCGCGTGCCCTAACCCGTACGCACGAGCTCATGATTTGAATCCGTTTCGCCCTTTCAGCGCTGCGTACGAGCTCGCTCTATTCCTCAAACCCCTACTGCTGTAGGGATCGACGCAGTTTGGCATCTTGTGGACCTATTCCAGTGCCTATGCCTCTTCTGCCAGCCTGTGCCACTCTTCCGAGGGACAGAAGACCTCTATCATTGAGTCCGGCCGAATTCGCGGGGCAGACGCCACCGGATTTCCACACTTTACGGTCCCTCAACCTGATGGACAGCCACGACTCGAGGTAGGTTTCGCGGGGACAAGTCACGGTCTCGTTTCGTCAGGCTTCAGCCGTAGGAATCTAATGAAGCGCACGCCGAATTTCAGGGACATTTATTCGGGTTTCAGGTCGGATCACTGCGTCGTTGGCTCGGCCCTGATGGCGCACTATAGAGGTCCCGACGTTGTTAGCGGTCAATCGGGTTCACCCAGCGTTCCCGAGGAATCTCAGGATTGTAGCATATCGCAAAGTTCGAGCACGGCCCCGCTGCTCGCATCCCCGGATCTTTTGGTCGATCAAGGAGACCACCCGTCCGCTTACTTCAGGTAGGACTTTGCATGCAGAATTTGCCGTTTCTCGACGAGTTCGGAGAGCCGCCGGGGGACAATCGCGATGTGGGAGTGATTCCCGATTGATTTTTATCCATGGGATCGTACCTTGTTGCGGAGCCGAATTTTCGCCTCGACGGAGCGCAGAATAGAAGCAGAAGCTCCGAAAAAACTAGGTCCTATTCTTACGTCACCACATATTATGAGATCTTCAGACTGGCTCACCCATCCGTATCTCATTCATGATGGAGCTCACCGGAGCTGACCGGAAATGCGGTTTTCCCTCCTCTCCGGGCTAGGTACGTTCTGGCAAATCACCCGGAAAACAAGTCCAGTTCAAATATCTCGAACCCCGTCATTCCCTCTGCGGAGGGAAATGACCGTCGGAAATAACAACGCCGCCGACCAACTTCGCGGCCTTTGGGGGGATCTCCAATATCGGAGGTTTCTATTGTCAGTCAGTCATTCGTTTTGGTCCGTCGCTTGTCAGAGAAGGAAACCGGCCGAGACCTCGGCACTTTCCAGAAGTGATTTTGGCTCCCTTCTGAGTGGTAGCAGCAACGCCCGTTGGCGATCGACCCGGAACAGTTTCCTCTCGATCTGATTCTGCAATCTAGCAACTTCAAAACAACTGCCGAGACGAACACAGAACGCTGTCTCACCACTTACTCGATCGGGGACGGGGGGGGAAGGACATTCCATTCATTCAAAGTTTGAGGACCCCCATCCAGAGGCGTATTCCATGGAGAATCGAAAATCGGTTCGAGTTTTAGGAGATATTGGGGAAAATGTTAGAGATCCCGGACACCGTATTGGAAGCGGGTGGATTCGTGCTCTCCGAGGAGCGTCGATGCATTTTCGACGCTGTTCCAGATTTGGAGGAAGTTTGAAGGAAGCCAATGCGAGCCCCATCTTCTCCCGTTTGCAGGTCTCCATCAGTGCTCAGTACCGTCCCAGAGGCGCAAGAGCCCACAACATTAGACGGGACTCAAGTTTAGGCCGGAGCTTGTGGCAGCTGTTGGACTTCTTCTGTTTATTCGTTAAACTAGCTGCAGTAGCAGCAGAGTCAGCGGCGGCGACGGCAGCAGAAGCAGCTAATGGATCACACAGAGTGTAAGAAAAGCCAAGGCAGAGAAAGATTGAGCGAACCGGGAGGGCTACGACGACGATGCAAATCGTTGCAACGTGGCGTCTATGGACATCAGGCGAACTCTTCGTCCATCGGCCGGCTTGAGCAGACTTGAGATTCGATGAAGTCAAAGTAGCCAAAGAGGAAACTTCAGAGAACATATCTCTGCGAAACTGACAACGGCGACACCCGTGACACGTTGATGAGATTTTGCGCAATTGTAAACTGTACAAAAAACGAAAACTATTTTGTCTGCCAACGGGAGACTCGATACAGAGGGGTATGTCCATCAGGACCAATCCCTCCGGATAGGTAGTTTTCCAACGGCTCCATCCATCGGCTACACACTGTTGAAGCTCAATCCTAGCGAAATCGTCTCGACTCACATGTGCTGTCGGAGGGACCGCCTGCAAAGTCGAAAACAATAAAACAAGGAAACACATATTGTAAATTCATGTGTATGGTAGCGTGTATCGAACATGTACAAAACAAAATGATCTCAGCAGCGTAACGACGACTTTCGTACTGAATGGAGGATTTGCTGCTGTCACAGAAGGAGCCAGGCACGGCAGCACGTGCCGACGTCCACAACGAACGGAACTCGACTCGTGAATCTCGAAATAATGGTTTCCTGGCGAAATCAACGAGATACTAGACGGTGGAATGTATAGTGACTACTGCAATCCAAGTATTGGACTCGCCAAATGCTCACAGCTTGTCGATGAGAATACCACGGACTGTAGAGTAAATGATATTCGAAAGGAATAGGAGAGAGCATCCTTCTGGGAATGTGCAGGGGAGCTTCAACGAATGACGAGCGAGAACACTCGATCGGCTCAATCCGTCGAATAAATACCGAACCATCTCATCGCGGGTTGCATCTCGTCGAGATAAAAAGTGTGCTTGGAGATACTTGTGGTGGATCTGTCCTCAACCCATTTGTAGATGAAAGAGAGACTTACTCTGAATGTACATTACAGATGAGTCAGGTACGGAATTGTAATAAGTCCTCTGTAACCTATCTACCCCGCCCATGATTAATGTTGATTAGTGTCATGATAAAACGACGAAAGGAACGAATGGGACAAAGACTCGGCCGGAACTGACGGCGCCGAAAACTGGTCTGTAAATAAACTATTATTACGTAAATGATGGAGAGACGAGCGTTTCGTCATTTACCGTCACGAGCAGCTCCGTCCACGGACAGAAGCTCTCACTCAGAGTTGAGACTGAAGCTCAGCAAATTCGCAGAGGAGGAGCGCTTCCTCGTCTAATCAAATGCGCATTCCCACAAGAAGCGTCTGAAGCTCCTCCTCATTAGAAAGTCGGGTCGAGCATGTAGCACGAGCGAGAATCACTCGTTGAGAACGAAGGCTGCTGCAACAGGATTCTGCGAGACTTGGGATCTCGCGAACGCAATGTCAGTGGCAGAGGGGGAATGCGCGGTCGAGGAGCTGTTCTTCCGTGGGAATGTCGGGGGAGTTCTCCATTGGGTCTGCGGCTGTCGGCTACTCTCATTAAAACCACGAAATTATGGACGGGGTTATTTCTCGCAGATGATACACGCAGAACGAGGTAAGGCACACCGGGGGGTGCGAAGCATCATCAAGAGACGTGCTCCAATGAATTACAGCGATCGCAGATATTCTTCCGAGGATCAGGGTGCCACATGCATTTCCGAGATTCGGGGTCTCGGGCCAGTTTACCATGGCGATGCTTTTGGTCCCCAGCGGAGCGACAGCACCCAGAAGAGTCATCGCGGCTTCCAGGGACTGCTCCGAGCGTCCTCCCTCGAGAGATCCGTCAGACTCCGGGAATACTCTTCTAAAATATCCACGGCAGGAGCAAGATTCCCTGAGGCTGTATGCAGCACTCGCAGTTTCCAGGCACGAAGTCCGTGATGTACGCGAGCGTCCCCGAATCGGTCGAGGATCGATGAAAGTCTCTTTTCTCGAGCCGAGACTCCTCACTGATAATTTCGCACGCAAGAGGTCGGGAGTTCAGGGAAATCCCGGACTGGTTCCACGTCGATGGAAGCTTGGAAGATATGAACCGACTCATGGCTCAAGAGAATCATTCCTGAAGGCAGTTATTCGCGTAGTTGAGGCGTGCTGGAGAAATCCAATGATCCACCTCACATCCGCGGAGCAGAGCAAACTACGAACTCAGCATGAGGATGGTTGGGAGCGCTTCTCGATTCTTCCTCACGATCCCTTCACGCCCCCCCCCCAAGTTTTTCCGTCGTTTCTCATTTCGGGGGAGGGAGAAGAGGGGACTGGACACGTTGATCGATGTTTTTCTGCGAGGTTTGGTAGTTCGGACGAAGCCGACGTGAGTCGTACTGACCGGTTCCCATTAAAACACGACCGCTTTCTTTTCACCAATCCATGAGCCCCTCGGCAGCGACACGACCACGCGCAAAACGAAGGTGATTCGAGATAATCGCAGCCATTCCGGAGAACATTCCAAGGATTTTCGGAGACGTCGTCGTTGCCGCAAAGCTTCGGTCGTCAGCCAGCCAGCCAGCCTCGGTCGTCGTCTTTCTTCGCAGAGACCGGCAGGCATACGAGCCAGAGAGCGTGTCTAGGACAGCGAACGCAGCGAGCGAGACAGCCGTCAGCAGCACCGAAAACGAAGGCATGACGACGGATCGCGAATTTCAAAGTGACACCGGAGGGAGCACAGACGATACGGGGATCAGCTGCCTGGCGTCCGCGCCAGTCGAAAGGAGAGACACGAACCGATGACATCCGACTTCCGGTTACGATTCGCACGGTCTGATCTGCGTCCGTTCGCATCCGCAACGCTTGGCAACCCATATCAAAGAGGTGATAAGAGGAGGAGGACGTGTTTCTCCCGGGGCGCCAATCAAATTCAAAGAGCCTCTCCCGGATCGGTATCGTCCAGGACGTGAAATGCTCAACAGGGCAATCAAACTAAAGTTCCCCGCTCGGTCCCATCTCGTGTGGTGAGCGGTGTTTACCGTAATGACTTACCCACTCGAATTACCCCCTACTCAGCCCCCCGTGGGGGTCGAGGGTCTCGACGTCTCTTGTCGGCATACGGAGCTCTCGACAGACGACAGTCAAATCAAAGCCGGGTGTCGTTCCGAAGACGTAGAGCCCGTAGACCGAACGAGCGGGGCTTGGGCGAGGATTGCGCGGCCAATCTCGTAAACTATGCAAGCAATCTCACACCGAGCCCCCTCGCAGCTTTCAGCACCCAGTTACATAATTGATGAAAGCTCCCAAGTCGACTCTTCTCGAACCTCATTACCGGTCATTGTGGGCCCGCTTCTCGAAATTAATTTCTAAGTTCCTTCGCGCAACTAAGGTTAATCGAAGTCTCAGCCCTGAACGGATCTGAGGTTCACGAAAGACATTTACCCGACGCGAGAACCAGGCTCCCTTCTTTGGCAAGTAAGCAGAAAGCTTTTCAGGCCGGTGACATCGTATCGCTTCGAATCGTGATTCGCTACTCGATTACAATTGCTCAAGTTTCTCGAAATTGATACGCGATGAGCATTGGTATTCTCCGGAACTCTGTCATAAAATGTCCATGCTTCGATGCAGTTTTTCCAGTGGGCAACCTGAATCGACCAGAATCGCTCCGACGCCGACGTATGTTATTCCCGGGATCGCGTGCTCCGCGTACCGTGCGTTCTTCGCATGCGCTTCTCTGTCAGAAATTTCGGAAGCGAAAATAAATCAGGTCCCGCTGCCGCCGAGCTCCCGCCGCCGGTAACAGTACCGTGTTTCCTCATTCTGAGGGTGAGGGAGCTCGGAAATGAAGGCGGCTCCCCCAAAGTCCTCTTCTGGAGAAAGCTAGTGGAGAAAAACTGACAATGAGGGAGCTTCACGCCGCCATGGCAGCCGGGAGCATCAATTTCACGGGATGTCGAGTGAGTATTAGAGCGGATTCCTTTTTCTGGTCCAGGACCGAGATCCCTTAAGAGTCCAAACACCTCGAGTCGACCCTTGGAATTAGCAAATAACGCACGTTCGTAACGGAGAGAGGGTGCAACATGAGATAAACAAAGAAAAATGCCAACCTGCAGAAATCCCCTTCCGATCTGTGTGCCCTCCGTCTGGTTTCGCTGCAATGGGATGTCATGGGAGAGGTAGACGAAACTCAGATTACGATGTTTTCGGTCATTCTTATTTCAGGGACAGCGCCCCAATCTGGGATCCTGAAAAGTTTTCTCCTTCCGATGAACGATGACACAAATCATTGACGGGTCTCATGGAGTTCCGCATAGATCACTGAGTGAGCTCCCGGGCCTAACACCTTAACAAACAGGTCTTAACGTCGCTTCATTCCCTCATGAGGCTCAGCTTTGAAACTCAAAAATTGGTCCGCTTACCTACCCCATTCCCTCCATGGCACGGGCGTTTCCAGATTTTGGAGTATTAGCGTATGTAATCCCACAGAGCGTGCAGCAATTGAAGCCCAGGATGCGGCAGCCTGACGTCCAGCTGCATCGGACAGTCACCTGCCGAGCCTTCGATTGAGCGACGCGAAGCCGCAAGAATTTTCCCGAGGATATTTTTTCGGCGGAAGCGAGTACTAATCGAGTGATGGAGGGACTTCTATCACTTCGTTGGCATTCGGCGTCTCTTTGTCAAGGGGACTTATTTGAGCTCCTCCGCACAATAACGAGAGTCAACGGCCTGATGTCGAAGGGAAAGGCGTCAAGTGACCACGATGAAGACCGAGTTGGGAGAGAGCTCGGGGTGAAGACTCTCTTCAATCCAGAGATATTGAGGGAATAAGAACATCGAGTTTGTCCAAGAATAGCCGTCTCGATTATCAGGTGCTCCAAGGTCGGGGAAGGTCGATTGAAGATCCGCGTTCTCTGACCACGGGCTA